CACCTGATCTGCCTGCAGGCACGTGTTCTCAACACGTCTGTTCTCTTGTCAAATCTGTCTCATGAGTTTTGAAATGAGGAAGCAGGTTCAGCGTTTCCAGGAAGCCTCCTGGTCTCTGCCAGCACCGTAAGACATCACTCTGCTCTCAGGAGGAAGTTAGCACCTCTGGTCCAGTCTCTTTGCCTCAATGGGAGCCACTGTCTCTGGGCTGTTCAGTTTGGCCTTTCCGCTTACATCACGGAGCTCTCGCGGACCACCTAGTTTTCTCAGCCTATTTCCAGTGAAATGTTCCCTAAGTGCCCAGTCACTGTGTTGGGCTCTCGGTGAGCTGAGCCTGGGGGCTGAGGAGACACAGAGGATGGGGCCCTCCACCCTCTGGGTTCAAATGCAGTGTGACCGAGACACTCTGGGTCTGAAAATTGTCCCCCACACACTTCTCCTGAGTCCTTCGGGGAAGCACAGCTGGCCGCCCAGACAAGACTCCCATGCAGCCCGCTCGCCCCAGCCCTGTGAAGGGCTGGTGACAGGTACCTCAGTCTCTGTGGCCACATACAGTCTCTGCCGCACGTTCTTTATCTGGCTTACAGCTGCTCCTTAAATGCAAAAGCAGTCTTAGCTACAGAGTCTGGCCTTAGGATCCACCTGGCCATCTGCAGGGAGGTCTCTGCCCAGGCCTGGGGTCTGGGCTCAGGCTTTCGCCGTGACTTCCCCGAGGCGAGCCCCGAGGCGAGCCCCGAGGCAAGGATGCTGACTCCTCATCTCCGCACCTTCACCGCTGGGTGGGGTGTCTGGTCTCGGGGGCGTCTCGAGGTTTGCGGACAAACGGGCACTTTCTTCCCAATCACTGGCTATTTAGATGTCATCTTTCAGAGAAAGCCTGTGAAAGCCCCGAATTCCACGGCACCGTCTTGTCTTTACTGATTTGTAGGAATCTTCATGTATTACGGACACTGAAAACGAAGCCGGGCCTCTGTTGGTCAAGCACACACCTCTGCCAGGTACTCACCTCCGTCAGGTAAGCACCTCTGTCAGGTCTGTAGTTCCGTGGGGCCACGTACTTCCGTCGGGCACACAGTTCCATCAGCAAAGCTTCCCAGTCCCAGCGGCGTTGCCCTCCCACCACGTCCATGTCTATATAATTTCCTCCCTTTGACAATGGGCAGAGCTGTGAATATAATGGGTACACCGCCATAGAAGCCCAAGGTGAAGGGATTTTTGCAGATGAAATGAGCTCCCAAATCAGCTGACTTGGAAGCTTATCAAAAGGGAGATTATCCTGGGTGGGCCTGGCCTAATCGGGTGAGCCCTAGGAGAGGTCAGCGCCATGGGCACAGGAGAGACAGTGTCCCGTAGGCTTTGAGGAAGCCAACTACCATGCTGTGGGGAGGCCAGATGGCAGGCAACAAGGGGCAGTGTTAGGGGTGGGGGCCTCAGTCCTGCAACCACGGGAACTGACCTCTGCCCCAAGCCAGTGAGCTGGGAAGCGGGCCTGAGCCTCAGACAACACTGCAGCCAGGTGAGACCCCTCACAGGGACCCAGGGACCTGTGCCCTGACCCCCACAGACTGGGAGGTGCTAAGTCTGTGGTGATCTGCTCTGTAGTGACAGAACACAAACCCCAGGCACCTTCACGACTGACACCTAGAGGGGGAGAATTGGGGTTCACACTTTTGAACGCAGCTGACACCCCCTGATAGCTGTCCGAAGGCACCAGAAGGTGAGTCAGGACTGCCAGGAAAGTGAGCCCAGAAGCAGGCGACCTGGCCCACCACAGGCAGGATCTGGGGACACGGGGGGCACGGGAGGCGCTCCGTGGCGCTCTGCCTGCAGTGCTCTGGCACAGGAAGGCCTACCCCCCTCACCTGTAGCCCCCCATGCCGCTGACTACACTCTTACAGTTGAGATGAAGGGTGGTTTAAGCGGGGTCTCTTCCTACTGAACCCCCAGCACCCAGGAACACACCGTGTGCCAAGTCACGCCACTGTCCCCCGTCACACCTCATGGCACTGTAAGGTCCAACGACAACCTGCCTCCTTCATGTGCACGAACCTGGACAAGACAGTTGGCAAACAAAACTACATCTGGGGTGTCCTCTTTGACAAGGAGTCTCATCCCCATGGCCCTCCAGGAAGGAGGAAGGGTTTGTGCCATCTGGGGCCACTATGCACACAGCTGGCCCCTCCTGTGCCCACAGGGTAGGACGTGAAGTGCCTGATGGGGCATCAGTGTTGGCAACTTACAGGCGTCAAGATGAAGAACTCATCCCAGTAGGGTGTGCCCACTCGCTTCCTGGTTCTAGGACAGACGAGCACACGAGAGCCATTTCAGTCTGGGTGACAGGGGCTGCGGGGAAGCACCCGCTGCCACCAAGCTGCAGACGGCGCCTCTGACCTGGCTGAGGCCCAGCTCTGTGGCCTCGCACGACAGACGCTGCGTGTTGATGCCCATGAGTCGGGCCAGCTGACATAAAGACACCTTCTCGTTGACAATGATAATGCCAGAAAAATACACTAAGAGTCACTTCTCATTCTTAGCCAATTTTATTTTACTTCAGAACCCTCAGGAATGATTATAAACTAAAGTGTCATCTGTGCTTAACAGGTTATTTTAGCCAGTAAGTCACTTTGAAGAAAAATACTGCCAAGTATTTGTCACACCATGTAAGGATTCAGGACTCGGCATTCTGCAGCAGCGCCCTTCGCTTATCAGCCCTCCCTGGTGTGACAAGAACACCTGGGCTCCTTCTCACAGTGACTGCGCCCCCGACTGTTGCTGCAGCCTGGACCTGGCATGACAGCCCACGACACATCGTAGGGCGCCCATGGGAACCTCCATGACAGCCCCCTACCACTCCCAGCAGCAATGCTCCATCTGGCTCTGAGCCAAGGCTTCTAGAGACCCCCAGTACCCGGCTGGCCCAGTCAGGTGGCCGCGGGTGGAAGTGGGCTAGACGGCACGGTGAGGGGCCGCTCCTGGCACTCTGTGGGTAGAGGGCACTGCGTGGGACAAAAAGGTGCCCTGCGCCGAGCGCCCAACCTGCAGGTGAAAGCCCAGGGCCACGCTTCCCCCGCAACACGTCTCCCCATGCTTGGAACACCCACTGCTCAGGGTCCAGACTGGGAGGGCTGTGCCTGCTTCTCGCCCAACGAAACCACGAGCCGCACCAGGGTCAGGAAAGGCCGCGCGCAGCAGGCGGGTCAGCGCTCAGCTCCGCCCCGCCCGCCTTCACACGCGCACGTGACAGCGGCTTCTGAGCACAGCGCTGCCCGAGACTTACACGTTGACATGTTTTTATTACACTTGGCATTATCGCGCTTTATAAAATTATATGGTTACAAATATATAAAGTAGTATTTTCTATGAATTTCATTTCAGAATAAACGGGGGTTAGTAAGTATCTGTTATGAAAAGAATGTTCGGGTGTGGTGGCCCTGAGACAGGAAAGGCTGTGACGTTTCCACCAGGGTCACGGCTTCCTCGGGCCCCTCCCAGAGTGCGTGCTGGGTCAGTCAGTGCCGTGGCCCCCCCCCCACGGCCCCCGGCCCCAGCACTCTGACACATGCAGGCACAGGCATCGTTTCTGTCTTTTCAGGGAACCAGCGAAGCAGCCACTGTGCCTGACAGCAGCGTACAGCCCAGACCCTCAGCGCTGCTGGAACAGGGTCTGGGAGGCCCCGAGGGCATGCCGGCTTCAGCTAATAAAGGCTGTTTAACCAAAAACACTCATGTTTATTTTTTTATTTTCTAAGCCACCCTGAAAAGGGAAAAGAATAATACATCAGGCTATCTGCTACCCAAAGTAGCTCTCACTTTATGAAAACAGAAATATAAAATCTGGACTGTGCAGTGATCTATCGGCTCAGAGACGGGAGGAGGCAGGACTCAGGACGCCGTAATAGTTATAACTTCAGCCCTCGCATCTTGCTCTCTATGCGAAGGCCGTATACTCTCCCTTTGGCCTATTTCTCCCCTGGCTTAAGGACAACTTATTTCTGCAAAAGATTACCAACACCTCATTTCTCCAACGCACGCTTGCACTGCGTGAAAACACGTGCTCTCGCACACAGCAGCATGATTAACGAGCCATTTACTTCTGTGGCCTGTCACTCGTGGGCGGCCACACGCACACCTCACTCAGCACTGAGCACATGTCTCCCTCAGACCAGGCCAGCACTGAGGTTCTCACTACCTCTTGATGAAGTCGCAGGCAAGCTGACTTTGTGTCACTAACAGCTGAAAGAAGAGGTGAGGCTGAAGACGAAACCCCAGCCTCCGGCACAAGCTGTGGGAAGTAACCACGTGCCAAGGAAAAAAGCCTCAGTGAGGAGCACGCAGAACCTCTTCTAAAGGCCTACAGTTAGTGACCTTCCATTCCTGACATTTCCACACTCAGAAACAACCCGCGGGGCCTTTCCAGGTCCAAGCTCAAAACCCAGTGGTCACATGTAGGTGCATCTCGACTCCCCTCAAATGCCCCTGTCCCCCGTGGGCTCATGCCCACTCTTCCATCCTAGGCCATGCCTGCGGGTTCCCGACACGCGGCCAGCACTCGGCAGTGCCCTCAGCACACGGGGACACGCCAGGCCCTTTGGGAACCAGCAGCCCGACAGCCATCTCCTGATGCTTCCTCCTCAGGGGAAGTGTCCTTGGAGCTTAAAACCCGACTTCCTTCACGTAGTCTCTGCACAGACCACACGTTAGCCTCACGCCACACCAGCTTCACCGGGATTTCAACATCTGTCTCGACTCCTCTCAGAAGCAGGTGCTGCATCATGTAAGTCACCAAAAGTAAGTGCCAAACAAACCGTCTTTTAATCACCTCAAAGAAAAAGGCTGGCAGGAGGCCCCGACCCACCGGGTGACCACAGGGCCGCGCCAGGGCCCAGGGCGCCCAGCACACAGGCCGCGAGCAGGCACCGTTTAAAAGGCAGGATCAGTTCACACCAAGCAGAAGTCGTTTCTTACCAGCCAAATAAAAAATGGTAGGTTCACCCTCTTACCTGGAAGCCTGTTCAGTGTCTGTGTCCTCCGACCCCAGTGCCAGGCGTCCGGCGCCGCAGGATGGAGCAGATGGTGTGCCCGCGCCTGGACAGTGGTCCCCCGCTCTCGGTGTCCCCTTGAAAGACTTCACTCTGCATAACAAAAAGATTCGATTATTTTATATTCATGTAAGTCAGTATAAGAAGCTTCTCCACCCGTTCAGATGGGGACTCTAATAATAAATATTCGGTTAAAAATCCTATTCCTAAATATGTTTCAGTTATTTTTAATGTATTCTTATGGGTTCTAAAACTGATACACAATATCAATCACGCCTCACACACCTGCTGGGACAGGCAGGCAGGCGCCCATGTAACTCCCACAATGCACCTTGCTCCAGCACACTAGTGCAGACAGGCACCCCACAGGCCAGGGAGGGGGCCCCCACCTTCTGTACAGTGGGCGTGGGCTGGCAGCTGCCTAAGAACAGCTTCAACTAGCAAGTCACTGCAGAGAAAGTTTCCACACCTTCAAAACCCAAATATGTAACGTTCCTATTTTATTTTGGCAAAACAAAGTGATGCCCAAATGAAGGAAGCCCTCAGAGCAGAGCTGTGCGCTAAGGTCAACAGGAGGGGCCCGCGGGTCCCCGAGTGGGCTCGGAAGTCTGAGGCTGGCAGTGCAGACGACGTGCGTCTCAGCATGGAAGTGCAGACGCGGTCCAGTCACCAGGCCCGTCACAGCTGCGGGGCCTGGGGGGTGAGAACTGCGTTTCCGAGTCCCTTCCATGTCTCCCAGCTGTGACTGCACCGTGTGCCAAGGCTCTGCCAGGGCCGTCTGAAAGTGACAGAACCAAGTGGTCGCTATATGATTAACCATGTGACAACTGCCAAGTCCCAGCGGCCGCCCCTGCCATAGAAAAGGAGGCCAAGGCACCACAATGCGGATGGTCATGAGGTCGAGGACGGTCAGGAGAGGCAGCAGGCGGCTTGATCTTTCTTGCAAAAGAGAATTAGAGGGAAACTTAGGACGGAGCTGCACAGGGGCCATGGTTTGGGGCAAGGAAGCAAGTCAGTGACCAGCCGAGAGCGCTGGTTCTGCTCTCCTCAACTTGCCTGGATCTGACATGTGAAACAGGCAGGAAATGTGGCAACCTAAAACTCTGGGGGGCGAGGGGACAGCGGAGGTAGGATGGGATGAACAGAGGGCCCCATGGCTGGTGGCTCTGTGGCCTGACACGCTCGGGCAGACGGCCCAGCTGCAGGCCAGCCCTACTGCCTCGCGGAGCCTTCTCCTGCCGAGTGCTCCTGGTCCAGCACAACCCCCGCTCCCTGAAAACAGCGTCGACCCCAGCTTAGTCAGGCCGGAGGGTCTTCTACAATAGCTGCACATGTGACTGTCCACTAACCCCAGCCGTGCTGGTGACGTAGGGGTCGTGTGGGATTTAACACACCTCATCCCAACAGCAAGTACAGAGCTGGCTGTATTCAAATAAATGGATCTCTCAGCTCTGCATGGACCGACCTCGGGCCAGTGATATTCGCGTGCTGATTAAATGACGCAATTGTGTTTCCTTTTCAAGGAACCTTTGTCATTATAATTTAATTAGGCTGGAAATCAGGGCTTTGCTCTGCCACAGAACAAGGACTCCCATTTTCTGCCCCATCAACGTATAAAACCATGACATGCGTGTACCATTACACAAAGATGTTCGAGGGCAGGTTCTCTGATGTTTGGAGACACCAGTTATCCCAACATTAAACCCAGATGCACTCAGGTAAGTGAAGAACAGGTGAACGACCGGCTGAAGGGTGCTGAGACAGGAGCCTTCTCCTGGATTTCTGACAGTGGCTTCCTAAGCATGGGGGCCCGCCACCAAAGGATGAGGCCAGCACGCACCGAGTGGCGGGGTGCAAGTGGGGCTGGGGTTGCGGCGCCCAGGGGTGCAGGAGGGGTAGAGACGCCCCTTGGCTGAGCTGCTTTGGTGACAGGGAGGGTGGAAGGCCTCTCGGAAGAAGGTCCCACAGACGGACTTCGTGTAAGAAAGAACCCTGTCTATTTTCACAAAGACAGCTCCGACGGCGGGACGGGTGAGACCAGAGGCTGGGAGGACAGCTGGGGGCAGAGGGATGGTGGAGACAGGCACGTCAAAGATATCGCGCAGGTGCGATGGGCGGACTCAGAGACGGGCAGTCCAGCTGGAGCAGTGCAGGGACTCCAAGGATCCCGGCTCTGCCAAAGACACGATGGAATTCCATAACCAACGTGAGGACATCAGGAAGAAACTGGAGGGAGGGCGGTGTCTTGACTACAAAGCCCTCCCAAGCACATCAGCTGTAGTCAGTGCTACTGCGCCCGGGACACTGACAGAGCCTGGGGAGCTGAGGGGACGGCAGAGCCAGCAGAGGACAGCGAGAGCTGAGCATGCAGAGGGAGGCGCTGCCAACCTCAGATCCATGCCCAACAAAAAAGTCTTCACAACAACAAATAAGATGATGTCGGACAAGTGACAGCAAGAGGCTCAGCCAGCAGCAGCCCCTCACTAGAAGAAAGCCCGAAGGACACACGTCAGGAGGAAAGCGATCTTGGCGAGAGAAGCAGAACACAAAAGAATGATGGTTAAAGCAAGCGGCACGTGGGAACACCGACGGTATCAAAACACAAATCTCACACAACGGCTCTGCGAAGGGAAGAGGGGACACTTCCCAACTCTTCGCATGAGACCAGGATGACCTTGGGGGTAAACCCGTCCAGGGTATTACAGGAATTAAAAATTAGCGGCCATCTTCTCTTATGAACACAGACACAAAGGTTTCAATCCAGTGACATGAAAGAGCACATCATAACCGAGCTAAATACGGACGTAGCAGGAGTGCACAGTTGGCTGAATATCTGGAAATGAATCCATGTGATGTATCAACAGTGACATTTCTATTCAAGAATGCTTTAACTTAGACTCCTCAATAATTCAAGTTGGCATTTTCCTACACTTCCATTAGTACGATAAATCTGACACTCTTCCTAAAAAATACTCAACCTTTGGGAAATAACTAAAAACAGGGGAAGCAATAAAGCTCATAAAATGCAAACAAATGTTTTTGCCAATCGTGAAAATAAAGACCAAGCACATAAAAGCCCCTACACCTTCCTCCCCGTGGGCTTAGACGCGCAGCAGCGCCATGGGGACGGCTGGGGACGGTGTCCTCAGAAGATGCTAGTATGTCCGTCATGAAGTTGTCACGAATAGACACAAAGGATAAGGCAGGAGGGGACATCCGGCCTTTGCCGCCTCTGTGAGCTTGTTTTCCACGTAGGGGAAGACGCCTGGGTGAGCTTCACGAGAAGGAAACAGCTGCTTCACACCTGTATCCATCAAGGGGTCGCCAAGTCCATGAAAACAGTAAAATTGCACACAAAATGCTGTTGATACGCCCATGAGCATCTCTGCAGTGAAAAAGTAACGAGACACTGCAAAGAGCCTCTGGCCTGCACGCTGGTTTGGGCAGAGGAGTACAAACCAGCCCTCCCCAGGGGCTGTGAACTGACCCGAGGCCCAGTCCTTTCTTTGGTGCTTAACCAGCAAAATATCCTCTTTTTTCAATACCATTACGGTTAGTCAATGGTACCTATAAAGTGAATTATTAAGGGGCACTAAAATTTGGAATTCATAACCTAAACTTTGGGCGTTACTCGCGTTGACAGAGGTCCAATTCAATCCTAAGAAGTGTGGGTCCCAGGCCCAGCGTCCAGTCCGCTCCACAGGACGCCGCGTGGCGAGGCCGCAGCTGCCAAGCGTGCCCCAACATCCAGCCAGTTCATCGTGGATTTCAATTGCCACTGTTCTTATTTGTATCATTATAATGTTAGTTTTGTTTCATCATTTCACACTAGTTTGATATGGGATGTTTGCAGATATAGTGATGAAAATTTCATCCGTTTTTTCTGAACCATAATTTTTCAATAACTAAACTTCACAGTATCATATTATGATCACATAAATCATCTCCAACCTTATTGCAAAACAGATGCATGGAACCTCCCAAAATTTCGATGAGGTAGTGGCACTGCATTTATTGGTGACACAGTGTGTGGAGTTGAACTAACTTGCAGCAGGCTCTCAGGTGAATGTAACACAGCTACCAGCTCTTCCTGAGTTGGTGGAGCGCCCATGCTAACGTAAAATGACACATTCAAGTGCATGTACATAAACGATTTTATGTGTGCTGCTGGCAGATGTACTGCCACTGGCTCACTTAACTTCTTCCCAGTTCTTTGAGTGTTGAGCAATTTTTCCACTGAAAATAAAAAACCACCATGGTTAAAGATGTTTAAGGTGCAGGATCTTGTCACGGAGAGAGATCTAAATGGCTTTTAATCGAAAATGGTGATAAAGTACGTAACTTCTTTCCTTTCTTACCAAGACCTCATCAAAGTGGCAGGAAAGGTACTTTTTGGCAGTACATGAATCATAATAGTGCAGAAAAATTACAAGGGGGTCTCAGCAGCAGACAGGGACGCTCGCAGAAGTGGCTGAGGCACAAAGCGGATGAACACGGGTTGATATGAAGAGGACAGGAAGTGGCTGTGCAAGGGTGGAGGGGGGTCCCGAGAACAGGGGGCCAAGGCTCAAACCTGAAAATGAGAATGACTCTCTGAAGACAGTCTGAGGCTTTCCGGGCAGGCGGGGAGCAGGGGAGGGGGCAAGCATGGTCATTTGGGTCTGGAAGAGAAACAGATTGAGTGAAGGGTCATTCTGTATCAGCTCACCAGCCATGGGAGGGGACAGAAGAGATTTATTTGCAGAATAACAAGGATAAAGCTAGCATCTGACTTCGCATTAGCAACACTAAACTCTGGAAAATAGTAGCAAATGCTTTCTGAACTCAAAGGGAAAATTATGTGACCCTAGAATTCTAGACCCAGTCGAATCATCGATCAAGTATAGGGACAAACTAACTCACGTGGGAACATTGCACGAAGAGCCCCAAACTCTCAGAGCCACGTGTTCCATGGAGAAGTGGGCTAAGGAGGTGCTCCAGCAAAACAAAAATGGAGCCCCAGAAACAGATATCGTGGGGCAGGGGACAGT